CTTACTAGAGAGGTTTACAATAAACTGCATACAAGAAGCTAAAAAAGGATCAAAAGTTTCAAATCCACCATTAAAAATGTACCATCTTCAACTGCCAGTACAGTCCTGTTTTCATAATCTGCACAATTCAACTATTTCTAACTCTTCATGAACAATGGGTCAAAGCAAGTCACAAGTAAATTCCAATTTCCTGGGTTCATGGGAAATTGGGACCTGCTGGTGATCACAGAATTTTTGATCCAAGGAGGGCCAGCCACACATTTTGCTCCACTGACAAGTGCTGCCTCACTTTGTACGCCAGTGTTGAAAATGCTAGCTCCCACAGGTATGTTGTCAGAAACGGCAAGATCACAACAATAGAATGGTCATAGATCGTCATATATTCATGTACCACAGTCAGCCAAAAAACTTTCAGTGACACCTCTTCAAAACATCAGCTTTATAATGCGATCCATTTGTAGCACTGTGTATCCCTCTTTCTTTTTTAACGTCAACTCTTATGATGAATCCGAAGACAGTGAACTAAATGGATCATGTATCCAGACTTGTATTCCACATTTGTTGAGGGAAAGTAGAATTTGAATGACTGTTGTAGAGTTTTGAGATGTTTGACCATGAGGCTGTGCATCTTGGCAGCTGTGTCTGTTGCTGACATTCACTTCTTTTGGCAAGAAACTTACCCATTTCTTCTTAGAATCTAAGAATTATTTCAGCGACATAACTGAAAAAAATATTCCAAAATATTTGCTTCAAAATCTGTGCTAAAATGGAAACATGTCCAGGCAGGCAGGCCAATTCAACTGCGTTCCTATATTCTATGTCTATTCCTCTTTATCATACACGCAAAATATGATGCACAATCATTGTCAATGCCCATATTGAATGTTTGGTCCTGCACATTCATAACGAAGCTGCATAATGGAGTTCCTTTCTCCTTTGTGTGTGTGGAATCGGAAATCTACACATGCACACTCTGAAGGTTTGCACTTGCGCAGGCGACAGGGGTGCCTAGTATTATCAGATACTTCCTTCAATAATAGACACTGAGGGTCTGGAAGAGATCAGAAGCAGACTCGATGCTCAGGTCAAGCAACATCGCACACCAAAAATTTTGAGGCACACCACTCGCCTTACCATGGCACACACCACGGTTAAAAACCATTGGTCTAACCAAATTCCTACAATTGAAACAAAACTCTGCACTCAGATCCTCCAGAAACGAAGGCTAACATTCCATTAGCTCATTTAATAGTTTGCTGCAACTGCATATTATTCAGTGACTTATCGACTAGGACACCTGGGTCCCTTTGTATATTTACATTTTCCAACCTCTTACCATTTAAGCAATACTTTGCACATCTGTATCTCCTACCAAAGAAGATAACCTCATATTTTTCTACATTATATTCCATCTGCCATGATTTTGCATATTCACTAAGCCTGTCCAAATCCTCCTGAAGCTGTTTTACATTCTCCTTACAACACTTAGAACATAGAACCATACAGCACAGGAACAGGCCCTTCAGCCCATGATGTTGTGCCAAACATCATGTCAAATTAAACTAATCCTCCTGTCTGTCCTTGGTCCATATCCCTCCATTTCTTGCATAATGATGTGCTTATCTAAAAGTCTCTTAAATGCCCCTATCATAACTACCTCCACCATCATCCCTGGCAGCACGTTCCAGACTCCTATCACTTTCTGAGTAAACAAACTTGCCCCTCATATCTCCTTTGAACTTGCCACTCTCAGCTTAAACACATGCCCCCTAGAATTAGACATTTCAACTCTGGGGAAAAAGTTTCTGACCATCAACCCTATTTATGCATTTCATAATTTTATAGACGTCTATCAAGTCTGCTCTTAGCTTCCCGCCACTCCAGAGAAAATAACCCGAGTTTTTCTAGCCTCTCCTTATAGCTCATACCCTCTAATCCAGGCAGCATCCTCGTAAACCTCTTCTGCATCTTCTCCAAAGCCTCCGCATCTTTCCTGTAATATGGTGACCAGAACAGAACACAATTCTCTAGGCATGGGCTAACCAAAGTCCAATAAAGCTGCAACACGACATCCTAACTCTTGTACTCAATTCCCCGACCTATAAAGGCAAGCATGCCATATGCTTTCTTTACCAGCCTATCTACTTGTGTGGCCACATTCAGGGGGCTATGGACTTGAACCCCAAGATCCCTCTGTGTGGTTCAGTGCTGTTCAGGGCCCTGCCATTTACTGTATACTTTTCCTTAACATTTGATCTCCCAAAATGCACCACCTTAGAGTTACTTTGATTAAACTCCATCTGCCATTTCTCCGCCCATATCTGCAACTGATCTGTATCTCGCTGTATCCTTTGACAACCTTCTACACTGTCCACAACCCATAACTCCACTGATTTTTGTATCGTCTGAAAACTTACTACCCACCCATCTACATTTCCATCCAAGTCAATTTGTACATATATCACAAACAGCAGAGATCTCAGTACAGATCCCTGCAGAACACCACTAGTCACGGACCTCCAACCCGAAAAACACCCTTCCACCACCACCCTCTGCCTTCAATGGACAAGCCAATTCTGAATCCATGCAGCCAAGTCACCGTGGATCCTATGCATCTTAATCTTATGGATGAGCTGACCATGAGGGAACTTGTCGACAGCTATACTGAAATCCATGTAAACAACATCCACTGTTCTGCCCTTATCAATCACCTTCGTCACCCCGTTGAAAAATTCAGTCAAGTTAGTAAGACATGACCTGCCATACACAAAGCCATGTTGACTGTCCCTAATGTGTGTAAATCCAATCTCTAAGAATTCTCTCCCAACCACTGATGTGAGACTCACCAGTCTATAATTTCCTGAATTATCCCTATTTCCTTTCTTGAACAGAGGAACAACATTAGCTACTCGCCAGTCCTCTGGGACCTCTCCACTGGCTAGCGAGGATGCAAAGATCTTGGTCAAGGCCCCAGCAATTGCTTTTCTTTTTTTAAAAAATAGAATCCCCAGCGTGGAAACAGGCCATTTGGCCTAACAAGTCCACACCAACCCTTTGAACAGCATCCCATCCAGACCGATCACCCCTCTCTATCCCTGCATTTCCTGTGGCTAATGCACCTAACCTACACATCCATAGATACTATGGGCAATTTAGCATGGCCAATCCACCTAACCTGCACATCTTTGGACTGTGGGAGGAAACCAGGGCACCCGGAGGAAACCCACACAGACACGGGGAGAATGTGCAAACTCCACACAGACAGTCACGCGAGGGTGGAATCGAACCCAGGTCCCTGGCACTGTGAGGCAGCAGTGAATGTACAGCAGTGTCCTCTTCTGCTGTACATTGGTAGCCTACTCTCTTCATGCTGTGTAGATATTTTCCTAAACAATCTGTTCAAAGATGGTTTTACACAGCTCCAGAGCAGGTCAGACTTGAATCAAGGTCTCCTGATTTGGAGGTAAAGTCACTCACACTGCACCACAAGATAAAAACTGAAAGAACTGCAGATGCTTTAAAATGTTAACTCTGATTCTTTCCACAGATGCTGCCAGACCTGCTGAGTTTTTCCAGCAATTTCTTTTTTTGTCACTGCATCACAAGAGCCTAGCATAATTACCTGTTCTGAAGAAGGGTCACCGGACCCGAAACATTAACTCTGTTTTTTTCCTTCACAGATGCTGCCAGACCTGCTGAGCTTTTCCAGCAACTTTGTTTTTGTTCATAATTACAACCAATCTTGAGATGTTTAAAAGATTCCGCCTGGTTACACATCACCAGATCCCTAGTTGGATCAATAACATGGCATTCAATGGGAATTTAAATGAGGGATTCTTAAAGTATGGTGCAGGCACCACTGGAATTTGAACCCAGGATATCATGTTGACGAGGCCAGCATTTTAATCAGGTCTGTTGCTGATATCTACAGCCTCCTCTGACAAGTCCCTCTTCCCAGTGCAGTATCAAGCTGACAAGCACTGAAGGCCGTGGCCCACTCCACAGTTTGCTGTCTCTCCCCAAAGTGCTCTTTTCAGCTGCATAGAGCAAAAGCTGATGGCTAGGAGTGTTTGAGATGGTTTATATGGAAAGGTGGGGACAATATTTGAGTCATTCAAGACATAAACAAGGATTTATGCACAAGGAGGAGAGTAACTGCCACAGTTCACTGTCCTGATAGGGATTTGCGAAAGTGCCTGAAGAGAATGAGTCGAGGTGCAAAGTGCATTGTTCCGGTGATTGCTGTGCAGGAGAATTCTGGAAAAGGAAGAGTCTCGGCACCCAAAGATAGAATGCTACTATGCTCTCCCATCTTCCTGACGTCTTAAATCCTCTTGGCGCACCATTTCCAGGTTGCAGAGACCACAGTCCGTAATGCCTTCCATGTTCACCTGCTAAGTCTGAGAAGCTGGTTTCTTCCTCCTATCCTCAGCAAACGTCAGTCCTTCAGAATGTACAACAGGAGCTTAAATTAATTGTAGGAGCAACTACCCAGCCTCCTGCAGCCTTGAGTTTATGTGCAGTTCACCCACTGACTGACAGATTTGGCACAATTCCACTGCCTGGTTGGTTTGGGCAGGTTAAAGTTAAACTATTGCAGGAATCCCAATTTAGTTACCAACTGTTGCCCGTCCCCAACTCTGGCTGTGCTGACCTCCTTGCCAATAATTATTTGGGAGAGAGTATGGGGGAATGCGACTGATTGGATTGCTGTGCAGACAGCCAGTATGAACTCGATGGGCTGAATGGCCTCCCGTTACGTGTAAGTGTCTTTGTCCCTCATTGTCCGGGACTACAACCTCCATCTTGCCATCGGGGCGGAGTGGGTTACCTGAACTGAACGAGTCCCTATCTTGCCTGAATTGCTCTGATATTGACTGGGACTTTTGTATCGCTTTCTGCCCTGGGCGCTGCAGAGGTCCCAGTGTCGTGGGCGCCTGCTGATGATGTCAGCGCGGGGCATCGGACGCCCGATTGGAACATCAGTGCGGGGCATTGTGCGCCCGATGATGATGATTTCAGGGCGCTGTAGCGGTTCCCGATGAGGCTGTCAGTGCGGGGCATCGGACGCCCGATGATGATGTCAGTTCGGGGCAACGGGCGGGGCAGAGAGCGTTTGCAGTGCGGAGGCCGCTGGACTGAGTTCTAGACACAGTCCCGGGGTTGGCCTCAGGACCGCTGAAGACGGAAAGAGGAGAGGCAGCAGGCGCCAGGCGTTGACAAGACAGGCCTAGTGGGGCTGGGCGAGGCCGAGCCGACCCGAGCCGGGCCGGGGTGGTTAGTGCGGCCCCGCCGGCTCCTGGGCCCCGCTATGAGCCGCTTCGTGGCGGCGGCCCGGCAGCAGCTGGTGGCGGCGGCGGGCAGCAGCAGTGTGGTGGTGAAGGCCTTGTGCGGCTCCGTGCTGGCCTTGTATGGCCTCTCGTTCCTGACTGACACGGCACATGGCCTGGCGGTCACCCCGGGATACCTATTCCCACCCAACTGCTGGCTCTGGACGCTGCTGACTCACGCCGTGGTGGAGAAGCATATCTGGGATGTGGCGCTGTCACTGGGGGCCGTGCTGCTGGCGGGGACGCTGCTCGAACCCCTCTGGGGGGCCCTGGAGCTGCTCATCTTCTTCACTGTCCTCAATGTGGCGGTGGGCCTCCTCGGGGCCTTCTCCTACCTTCTCACCTACGTGGCCACTTTCAACCTGGACTACTTATTCACTGTGCGCATCCATGGCATGGGGGGTTTCGCTGGCGGGGTGTTGGTGGCTTTGAAACAGACCATGGGTGACACAGTGGTCCTCAAGGTGCCACAGCTGCGGATGAAGGATGTCCCCATGGTGGTGTTGGTGGTCCTCGGGGTACTGCGGCTCACCATGGTTCTCAGCAGCCCACTGCTAGCATCTTATGGGTATGGAGTCCTCTCTAGCTGGGTCTACCTTCGATTCTACCAAAAACACAGCCGTGGCCGAGGGGACATGTCTGACCACTTCGCGTTTGCCACCTTCTTCCCTGAGATCCTGCAGCCACTTGTCTCCGTGGTGGCCAACGTGATCTACAGTGTGCTGGTGAAGATTAGAATATGTAAGAAGACGGTCAAACGATATGATGTTGGGGCACCATCATCCATTACAATTAGCCTGCCTGGTACTGACCCACAGGATGCAGAACGCAGAAGGTACTTAAAGCAACATTTCTTTCCATTTCCATTCTCTAATTTGATCTCAGGAGGTTTTAGGACCTTCAACATTTGTTGATTGTGCAAGAGTTGCACAATCTGGCCGGATAGAAACTTAATCAAAGAATTGTCACAGAGCAGGGAAGTGCATTGTATCTGTACCAGCTTACCAAATGACCAACACGTGTGATTTTGTCAGAGGGGTGGGATTGAGCAATACACATGACACTCCAGTGCCTTGATGCAAATGGGGATGGTGAAAAACAGCTAAGCATCAGGAGCACTCATACTAACTAGTTGAGTCCTACGTACCTAGCATCTAACCTTGAATT